GTTCTGTGTACACTTCCATGAGCGGCGTTACACTGAACACTTGCAGTGTGCCGTCCTAAAGCTCTGTGTACACTTCTGTGAGCGGTGTTACACTGAACACGTGTAGTGTGCCTTCCTAAAGTTCTGTGTACACTTTTGTGAGCGGCATTATTCTTCTCATGCCTCACATAAACTGATGGGAAGATTACACAGCTGCTTTCCCTCATGGTTCCTCATACTTCTGCTTAGTAATAAAACTTCCTTGGTGTCTGAAACCAAGACCAGAGCTCTCCACCTTTTGGAAGGTTAGAAAGGTTATTGGGTCAGCAAAGCAAGAAAATAATTTTCACAGCATATTGATTTTAGCCAGCCATATCCAGCAGATGTGTGAATAGTTGAAGCTCCACCTTGCGACTTTCTTGCCTCTAGTTTGGTTCGGTAACTTGACTTTTCCGAGCCTACTAAAATCTAATTTTAAAGAAATCTTATGTTGTGTCTAATCAGGTTTGTATAAAGTGTTAGCTAGCAGATCTGAGACACAATCCTTTTACCTGCATCCATCAACGCCAAACTTCCGCCACAGGCAGATGCCATGGAAGACGACCCTACGAGAGAGAAACAGTAGCTTTACAAGAGACTGATTTTTTTTTTTAAATGTAGAATATGGTTACTATTAGCTATTCAATATTGTTTTCTTCCTTGTTTTATAGAAACACGTAAGGCCTGAACCACAAACTATAGAGCTGCATGGTCCAATTCATCTGGTTCCTTTCATTTAAATTAATGACAATAAAAAACTCCGTTCCTCCATTGCACTAGCCACACTGGTTACCGTACTGGAAAACACAGGCACAGAATATTTCCATCATCACAGGAAGTTCTGTTAAATAGCACTGTGGCAGAAATTTTGATTCTGTTGTTACCTGAATCAGACGACGGTTGAAGATACAGGGCTCCGGCTCTCTCACTGGGCCATAAGCACATTAGCCTAGTCATACCCGGTCGAGAATATTAAAGCCTTTAGTTTAAATTCTGAGCTTCCCTTGGCGTTTCTTCCTGCAAATCTGTGACCATCTGACCTTTTTATGTCTGCTAGACCCTTGAGAATAACTGTGCCCTTCCTGCCTTCGGTGACTATTTTGTGTTGACTCGTGGACTGATGTGTGAGTTAAATGGGATGTTTCAGACCCGCCTCCCTCTGTAGTCACTTGTGATATGGGACAGGCGTCCCCTCACAGGCTCCTCTGCTTTGGCCCCTCCTCACACAGGACAGCCCTTCTCTGGGGTTTGTTTGTACAAACAAACAAAGAGCCAAAATTAGATTCTATTAGTCATACATGAAGAGAAATCACTGCTTTCAAAACAGCTCATTAACTAATAACAGAGACTCAGGTCGGTGCCCTGATTAACTAACAGTTTCTCTTAAAATAGGCTTGAGCCCTGGAAGAATAAACATAATGTATACTTTTGAAAAGTTAGGAAGATAACAAAGAATCGGGTATTTCCCACTAGGAAAAAAAAAAATCTGCCAATACCATTTGACTCTAGGACTTCAGATGTGACTCTTATGGTGAAAGGAAAATCCCTGGGAATAACAGGATACAAAGCTTTCTCGGCAAGAGCACCTAAATTGGAACAGAAAACAATGAGCAAAAAATGCACTAAGTCTCTGTCAGACACTAGATTGAGCACACAGATCTGTACTCACCATGCCCAAGTTCTCGTCTATTTACACCAGTAACTTTGCCAATTTCGTTAGTTGCATAAGGTGGAAACTTAAAAAAAGAAAACACACATAAGTGAGATGGGAAGATGCCCCTAATGTCATAATAAAACAATAAAACAAATTACAAAATAGTACAATCCCATTTTTGTTAAAAAAAAAAAAAAATCGTACACACTAACATATCTACAGAAAATGTGTGGACATCTAAAATATACATCAAATTGCTAAAAGTAGCTATTTCTAGGGTGTCTGTGACTCAGCAAGTGGGAAGCAGATGATTACAGGGAATTACGCCATAGATTTCCATAATGTTTGCGGTATTAATACAATATTAGGTTTTTTAATAAAAAACACATACATGTTTTTAAAAATGCATACTAAGGAAATGCAGATCTTTTCCATAGGGTGTGTCTATTTTCAGCTTTTAACAATGGAGTTATTTAATGTAGGAAAAAAAAAAATTTTAGCCAGAGTTTGCAAATGGGACCAATATGTTGTTTTAAGGAAATATGAATTAGTTGCAATCATTTAAAAATTGGAAGATTCCCCATAAAAATCTGGTATTTGAGTTTCTTTAGCAAAAAGACAACCAGAGGAGAAATGGAACGTGACTCTGATCAAGCCTCTGGATCCAGCAGCCAGTTGGCAGGCACCAGAGAGGACGGGGGGAGGGTATGGTGAAGTGCGCCATGAGTGTGCACACAGCAGCACCCAGAGTGTGGGGAGCACTGCGGGTCACACGGCTCTGGGGCTTCAACAGGTAAGAATGTGATGGGGTGAAACCTATAAATTTAAACAGACTTTAAAAAAATACCAAATTTTAAAAAATGGACAGGACTAAAGTATAGTAACTAGGGATGCACGCTAAGAATCCAGGGAAGTGAAGACGAAAAGTTAACAGCTACAAGGTTGATGGTGGAATGTAGGCAGTGGGCACAGGAGTGTTCACTGTAAATTTCTTTCAACTTTGCTTTCTCATAATAAAACGTTGGGAAAAATTCACCTTACCTCATAGTGCAGCATGAAGTTTTTGTCTTTTATTCCACTATAAATGAAAAGCATAACATTAACCACAGTATATAGATGCAAACAAATGTATTTCAATAAACAAAAAAATCTTAAGGAAATTGAAAAAAACACCACTGGTTATTAATGAGAGTTGGTTTGAAAGGGAAACTGGGCGTATTCGGAAGATGAACGCCAGAGATGTTATTTCCTTCTGGAGTTTATGTATGAATTCTGCACTGATTTAGAGAAACAATTTTGCTTCAAATACAAGCACTTAAATATCTAGATTTGACTATGAAGACAGCAGACATTTGTAGGCATTAATAACTACTGAGAGAGTCCTCAATGTTGTGCCACATTAGTCACATCTCAGAGTTACGACCTTTCTTCTAGTCAACGTGTGAAATAAGGACCAGTAACTGAAGTGATACCGCTGAGGGCAGTCAGAGGATCTGACAGGCAAACGTCTTTTCAGGGTTTGAAAGGAGAACAGTTGTGACTCTATCTAGAACAATGAGGAAAAATAAGGATGAGAAAGTCTTATTTTTGGCAGGAGAAAACCAGATTTATCGACAGCTGAGGAAAAGACGGGCACGCAAGGCCTTAGCAGCAATAGCGCCCCCTTTTGGTGGAATTACAAAAGGGCACCTCCCTGTGCAGAAGAATCAGCAGCTCTGAGCCAGGGCAGAGTCTGCACAACCACGAACTGCAGACCTGGGAAAAGACATCGAAACACCAAATCTCCTCCAGAAGATTAAAGGAATCATAGACTTTGGGGGTAGAGAGGCAGACAGGGATCATGTGGTCCAGTACCTGCATTTCATAAGAAAAGGAAACCAAAGGCCACGATGGCTGAGTGGTGTGAGCCCTGACTTCCATGGTTAGAGACAGACCCAAGACTAGAACAGAGAGGTGCCCTGGCCAAGCCCAGTGCTCTTTCTTAGTAAACTGTGTTGCCTTCCCTAGAAGAGAAAGAGGCCAAAGTGGAGAAGGGTGGGACAACCAAGTTTTGGCCCAGAAGGGAATATAAAATACAGACGAAGTATAAGAGCTCCCCAAAGGGTTGTGATTAGGATGAGAATTCCAGCTTTATACACAGCTGTACTGTCAGTTTTATCAGACATATGAAAAAAATTAGTGATCTATCCTGAAGACCCTGGGGATGATCCTCATCAGCTGGGCAGCAGAAAGAGAGAGGCAGAGTCCTCTGGTCTTCTGGGACCCTTAATCAGGGAAGGGAAGCAGCCCTGTAAGACACTAAGGAAGAGAGTCATTGTGGCTGTGAGTCCCGGGACTCGGAGGCACTAATGTGGGGGGACTGCAATGTCGATCTTCATCATCCAAAGCTGATCAACATGATTTTATGGCTCTTTTTTTAGACAGGGAAGGGAGTCAAGTATTCTAGAATGCAAAATCAGATGTGGCTGGTGATTAGACAAGGTTTTTACATTTTTTAACAGCCTCCAGATTCTTTTCAGCAACTGGGACTCTTGCCACGATTTATTTACTCTTTCATTTAGAAAGTGAAATGTACCCGTTCAAGATTACTCAGGAAATCTGTCCTGAGAAATGGTTTTAGAGATAGAGAATAAACTAAATGTACCCACATTAAGAAATTTAATGATTTATCAGTATTTGTTCATAAACCAACGAGCTAGGAGACAATACAGCACAAAAAAACTTGAGGGTCACTTAAAATCACTATGATGTAAACAGAAAAATGAAGTACAGAGGTATAGGTTAAAAAGAGTAACAGTAAGAATACGCTGCGTGAACTTAAGTTATATGTTGGAATGTCATAGCTTAAAAACATAAACTTACTTTATAGCTGTTATAATTCTATCAGATTTAATACTGGATTCTAAGGAATCAAACGTGACAGTACAAAGCACCTAAAAGAGAAAAAAGAAAGTTCTCAGGCTTTAATATACTTACAACAAAGATGAAAAAATGTATTTGAAGAACCCAATTAGCTCTTAAAAAGCAGGGGATAAGCACCTTTTATACAAAGCTTACCAGTGTACTTAATACACCAAACCTTTATTCACTCTATAAATATTCAAGTTACATGTAAACCTCAATAATCTGAATGTTCAGCATCGTACAGACTATGTACGTAAAGCCCTGCACTAGAAGTGCTGGGGGAGGAGGGCCAATGCATGAGACTTGGTCGCTCCCTCCAGGACCTCACTCAGAATTAAAGTAACTGGAGTGCCCCCCAAATTAGAAATGTTTTATGAAATTATGTAAATTTGAAGGTTCGTTTACAATAACCTGAAAGCAACACTTAATTTGCTTGTGAATCTTTGAAGAAATGCTGCGATGGCAACCACGTCATCAAGGTAACTGTGTAATATTCCCAGTTGTAGCCTTGTTTTTTGAAATTGCCCAGAACAGTGACTGGCACTAACTAGTACAGTTAGCCAAACCACTGCCCCTGTGTCGACTCTGACTCATGGCAATCCCACAGGGTCTCCAGGGCTGTAAACCTCCACAGAAGCAGATGCCACATCTTTCTCCCATGGAGCCGCTGGTGGTTTCGACCACTGACCTTTCGGTTAGCAGTCGATCATTTTAACCACTGCACCACCAGGGCTCTTACTAGTTATGGTTAGCACTGAATAAATACTTGTGAAATAAATGAACAAGCAAACATACATGGACCTGACAATATAGACTCAAAATTATAAAGTGACAACTGACAGCATAATTAAAGGAATCAACGGTATTTGGAGATATTAATACATTTCTCATAGATACTGAGAACTCAAGAAGACTAAATTAAAAACACAGAAAATCTGAACAACAATACATTCAACCTGTAAATATATACTGAACTTTACCCAACAAAATTAGATACATTCTTTTCTTGCATATACAGATGGAACATTTATAAAAACTGACCATAAAGGAAGCCTCAATAATGCCAAGGTTCAATACCACACAGACTATGTTTTCTGACCAGGAGGTCATTAAATTAGAAACAAGTAACAAAGGATAGTCAAAAATCCCATATGATTCAGACAATAAGCTTCAGTGGCTACAAACATCAAAAGTCAGAGAAAAATCCAGACATTATGTGCCTCTGATGGGCATAAACACTACCATCTAGGAAGTAGTCTTGCAAGAAAATCAAATTCCAAAGGTCAAGTCTCTAGATCGAACTATCAGTTTACTAGGAATGCAGGCGGAACCAAGTCATATGTTAAATGATACTACAAGGATGCAATCAGCAAAATGAGGTTAATAGAAAACCTTGCAAGACAATTAATGTGGTTTCTCTAACAAACTATGAGGGAAGAAAAAAAGAGATGAGGAGAGGGGTAATCCATACATTAAAAGAGACTTAAGACATATATCACACAATTGCAACGTATGAACCTTTTTTGGATCCTAATTCAAACAAACCACGAAACCACGTTAAAAAAAAATTACTGAATCTTTGTGTAAATGAGAACATTGAGACTTGAGGATACTAGGAAATGATTATTATTTTCGGTGTGTTAATGATGTTGTTTTAATATTTTTTAATCCCTGAAATATTTATGGATAGAATGAAATGATGCCTCAGATTTGCTTCAAAATAAGATTTGCCTTGAGTTCATAATTGTTGAATTTGGGTAACTCACACAAGGGGGTTCATTATATTTTTATTTCTACTTTTGTATATTTTAAACTTTTCTTAAAAAAGTTTATTTTAAACCTAGTATATCTAGAACGGGGCTTCCCAACCTTGCCCCTATTGATGTTTAGGCCCAGCTAATTCATTGGTGTGGGAAGCTGGTGTTGTCGGATGTTTAGTAACATCCCTGACCCTCTACCCATTAGATGCCAGTAGTATCCCTTCCCCCTCCCCAACACGTGACAACCAAAAATGTCTCCAGATACTATCAAATGTTTCCTGGTCTAGAAACTAAAACTAAACTGAACTAAACATCTACCAAATAATAACTTGAATTAAAGAGGAAATAAAAAGAAAATTAAGAAATACTTTGAACTGAACGATAAATCTTTCATATCAAAATTTGTGGGAAACACCTAAAATAGTACTTGAAATGAAACTTATTAAATACATTCATTAGAAGATTTTAAAGGGTTGAAAGTGATTGCGTTAATAATGTTCATTTCAAGAAGCTAAAGATTTGGTTTCTTGGTTTGGAGGTTTGGGGTCGTATTTCAGGAGACATCCGGGTTAATCGGCCTGATGTTGTGTTTAGTGCATCTGTTCTATCTCCTAGTTTGTGGCATAGTGCCTGGGGTCTTAAAAGCTTGCCAGTGGCCATCCAAGGTACAACAATTGGTCTCTACTCACCTGGAGCAACAAAGGAAGGAGTGAGGAATAGGAGGAAAAATATGGAATGTGTGGCAATTGCCTCCATGAACAACTGCCTCCCTTTGCCATGAGACCAGAAGAACTGGATGGTGCCCAGCTACCATTACTGAATGTTTTGATAAAAGAGTCTGTAGAAGAATCCTGATCAAAAGGGAGAAATTGCAGAACAGAATTTCAAACTCCTATGAAATCCAGTCTTTCTGGAGCCATGGAGTCTGGATGAACCCCTGAAACTATTGCCCTGAGATAATCTCTAAACCTCAAACCAAAAATATCCCCTGAAGTCTTCTTAAAATCAACCATTTGTTTAGCTTAACTAGTAAAGAATGTCTGCCTTCAGCACTGTGCTCTTTTAAGAACATAGGATCAAACTGACAACAGCAACTTGAAAGATTAGATAGGAAATGTAGGGGGCAGTGAGTTTATGTTAACAGGGGAGGAACAGTTAGGAAAAGGAAGGTGAGAATGGTTGCAACACTTAAAGAATGTAATCAATGTCAATGAACTGTACATGTAGAAATTGCTGAACTGGTGTACCTTCTGCCGTATATATTCTCAACAACTATAACAAAAAATAAAATATTTTTAAAAAAAGAAGCTAAAGAAGAAAATGGAATTATACAAAATATTCAATTAATCCAAAAAGAAGGCAGAAGGAGGAACAGAGAAAAAACAGGGGTCAAACAAAAACAAATAAAAATGACAGACCTAAACTCAAACATATCATTAATTAAAATACAGATTAATGGACTTTAACACTCCAGTTAAAGGGTAGAGACTGTTAGAATGGATTAAAAAAAAAAATGGTTTGCAGAATATCTTTATGGAGATACTTTTAAACTTTACTATATAGAATAAAAAACAACACAAAGAAAAAACAAATTAATCATGAGATAGCTTATATTTATTGTAAACCAAACCGTCAAGTCAATTCCAACTCATAGGGACCCTACAGGACAGAGTAGAACTGCCCCATAGCGTTTCCGAGGAGCAGCTGGTGGATTCGAACTGCTGACCTTTTTGGTTAGCAGCCTGAGCACTTAACCACTGTGCCACCAGGGCGCCTATATTCATTGTAAAGTCTGACTTAAATGGGAAAAATATCGATTCTTTCTCAAATTAATCCATAAATTCAATATAGTAACAATCTAAATCCTAAAAGGATTTTTTAGAACTTGATATAATTCTAAAATTTATATAAAGAAACAAATGTACATGAATAGCTAAAGCAATTTTTTGGGGAGGACGGGGAAGAGAGGGTGGAATTGCCCTCTTTGGTATTAAGACATACTCTAAAACCGTAATTAAGTCCGTTTCATATCAGCCCAGAAAACTCACAGAACGATGAAAGAGAATAGAGTTCAGAAATACATTTATAAACTTTGAATATAATAGAGATGACATTACAAATCAACGGGAAAAAATGGATTATTACCAAATATTATTGTAAACTTGGCTCACTATAGAGGCATGAACTCTAAGATAGGTTAACGATCTAAATAAGACAGCTAAACCCTTAAGGCTATAGAAGGGAATAGGAGGTGCATCACGTTGTGATTCTGGGGTAGGAAGGATTTCTTAAATATGACTGTAAAAGCACAAACCATAAAAGTGAAAAAGGAACGGATGACTACATCAAAACTGAAGATTTCAGGTGCACTCTAGACATACAGTAGACTGCCATACGCAAAGCTAAAAGACAGATGGCAGAGAGGGAGAAAATATATACAGTCTGGTTTGCTTCTAAAAAAGGATTAATATTTAAAGCACATAAGAAATTACTACAAAACAGCAGGACAACCACAGTAAACCACTGTCTTAGTTATCTAGTGCTGCTGTAACAAATACCACACACGGGTGGCTTTAACAAACAGAAATTTATTCTCTCACAGTTTAGGAGGACAGAAGTCCAAATTCAGGGCACCAGCTCCCAGGGAAGGCTTTCCCTCTTTGTGGGTTCTAGGGGAAGGTCCTTGTCTCTTTTCAACATCTGTGGCCCCAGCGGTCCTTGGAGATCAATCTTCCCCCGGGTCTAGGAGGTTCTCAGCTCAGGGACTTCGGGACCAAAGGACATGCTGTGCTCCCAGCTCCTCTTTCTCGGTGGTAGTGAAGTCCTTCTCCTCTCTGCTTGCTTCTCTCTCGTTTTATCTCTTGTAAGATAAAAGGTAGACAGCAACTCTACTCCCTCAGCTTTGGGAGGCCCCATTCTCCCAGTCCATCTGAGTGGCGACCCCTCCCCATTGGCCCCATTCTTCTGCCCCTTGGGCATAGCAGCCCCATCCCCTCAGCTTTGGGCAGTGGCCCCATCCCCCGGCACACCTTAATGGCAGCACCACACTCTAGAACCGAGCTGATGAAGATCCGACTCTGAAACTTAGGAGGCTGTGGTCCCACCGTTCGAAAAGAAGGCCCTGCTTCCCATGTTCCTTCCCACGGTTCTGCTGATTTCCGAGCTGCTCCAGGATGGTATTTTTCTTTTCTTGGGGGACAACACATGTAGCTCTTATGGCCTGTTTTCCGCTTGTAGAATTCCAAGAGGCAGAAAGCTTTCTTTTCTTTTGTTCTTTCTCTGTCCCTTTCAGTGAAAGCTGATGGGTTTTCTGCTGTGGTAGTTGGTTAGATCTATCAGTCACAGGCTTAATTTCTTTAACAAAAGATTGTGTAGCCATGCGCTTGGTGAACACTCTAGGACACGTGTCCTTACTATGTACAACAGAAATTTCCAAATCTGTAAGTTCTGTTTTCATTTTGCACAGTTCATTTTTAAGTCCATCGTTCTCCTCTTGCATTTTACTTTAAATGGCAAGGAGAAATCATGCAGCCTCTTTAAGATCTTGCTTAGAAATCTCCTTAGCCAGATAGCCAAATTCATCAGTTACAAGTTCTACCTTCCACCAAACATGGGGAACATAATTCAGACAAGTTCTCTGTCACTTTATGAAAAGCATCGCCCTTCCTCCATCATCCAATCACATGTTCATCAGTTTCTTTTAAAGCCTCACCAGAAGCACATTTAACATCCATATCTCTAGCCACATTCTGTTGCTGGCACCATATGTATTCTCTAAGACAGTAGAGACCTTCTCTATAGCTCTCCTCAGTTCCTTCTGAGCCCTCACCAGAATTGCCTTTGATGTCCATAATTCTACCAAACAGTCTCTTCAAGGCAATCCAGACTTTATTAGGCACCTTAAAACTCTTCCAGCCTCTACCCATTGCCCAAGTCCAAAATGCTACCACATTTTAGGTATTCGTGAGAGCAGTACCCCACTCTTCTGGTACCAAATCCTGTCTTAGCTATCTAGTGCTGCTATAACAGAAATACCAAGTGGATGGCTTTAACAAACAGAAATGTATTCTCTCACAGTTAAGGGCTCTGGGGGAAGGTCCTTGTCTCCTTTCAACATCTGTGGGCCCAGCACTCCTTGGAGATCTCCATATGTCTTGGCTTCAATCTTCCCCTCGGTCTAGGAGGTTCTCAACACAGAGACTCTGGGTCTAAAAGACACACTCCACTGCCAGCTCTTCTTTCTTGGTGGTAGTAAGGTCCCTCTTCTCTCTGCTTGCTTCTCTCTCTTTTTATCTTTCGTAAGATAAAAGGTGTGACTCATGCAAGGGTGTGACTTGAGTAAGGGTGTGACACAAGACACATCCCACACTGATCCTGCCTCATTAACATATAGAGGTTAGGATTTACAACACATCACAAGATGGAGGATAATTATATCAGATCACTAAATGGAAGGGCAACCACAGTACGGAGAATCATGGCCTAGCCAACCTGACACCTATTTCTAGGGGACACAATTCAATCCATCACAACCATATTAAATTAAAAACAAAGGCAACAGGGATGTGAGCAGGCAGGCAATTCACCCAAGAGAAAACCTGCATCAGGGCCACCACATTGCACAACTCCAGGGGACAGCATCTATGCGAAAAGCGTGCCCCTGGGGGTGCAGTGCCCCAGGGGATGGTTTATACAGCAACTGCTGAGTCGTGGGTATTTACAGACATTCAGCCTCTGTAGTAATCAGGGAAATAGAAACTAAAGCAATGAGATATCTCTACTTTGTATCTACTGGACTGGCAAAAATGAGTGATTACAGTAGTGATTAGTGTAAGAAAAAGAAAGAGGTAAAAAGCATAATTCCATACACAAAACAATGGATAGGCGTGTATGTAAATAAGCAACAGAAGCTGAACTGGGTATGTCAAATACAAGAGTGGGTGCCTATGCAAGCAAAGGGGACAGGACTGAGACACAGACTAAAATAAGCAAACAAACACAAGGGCTTCGCAAAGACCAAAAGTGACCGTACAGTGAGGAGTATGGGTGACTCAATGTTGGGTGCCTGAGAGTAAAAGAAAAATACAATAAAAAATACCAGATAATTCTAGAAAATACAAACTAATCTACAGTGACAAAAGCAGATGGGTGGTTGCCTGAGGATGAGAGACGGGGGCAGGAGGAAGGGATCACAGAGGGTGCCTGAGATGTTCATCATCTTGATTTTGGCGATAGTTTCCCAGTTACAGGTGGGACAAAACTTACCAGATCATATACTTCAAATACGTGCAGAGTATTTTATGGCAATTATATCTCAATTAAGCTGCTAAAAATATTTTTTGAATTTCCAGATATTAATCTGAGTAGATAATACATTTCACATGATAAAACCTATAGAAGCTATATTACGTAATACGATTTTAGATCTAACGAAAGGATCTGCAAATAATTGTAGCTTTTTACATGTATTACCTGTGTCTGTCCCCTTTGAAATAATGCTGATCCATGAAGCGTTTTAAACATATCTACCTCACAACTGATATTCCTAAGTGAAGTCAAATCCCGACCATCACACCTACAGTAATAAAGGAAATAAGTATGTAAAGCAGTGTTGGAAATCAGAAAAATCACATATTATCTTTTTATCCCTACCAGGAAGTTCTCAACTGATAGAAAACTTGTAGAACTTTAAAAAAGTGATAAATTCCTGAGCCCTAGCCTAAGAACCGCTTAATCAGAATCTCAGGGATGTGACCCATGCATCTGCATGAATAAGCACCACAGGTAATTCAGATGTACAGCTAGGCCTGTGAACCACCACTCTACAGACAAGTCAGACAGACAGACAGACAGACAGACAGACAGACAGACACATCCACACAGTCCACATATTGTTTAATACATGCCCATTTATAAAATAAATATCAGAATTCTTTACTATTCACTTAAAGAAACATTTCCTTACTCTGGGCAAACTGCACTTCAGTGCACCTTACTGAGACAGCTCCTGCTTCAATTCCATCCAAAAAGGATAAGTTTACCTTTTGTATTCATTCAAAATAATACTTCTGAAGGCCTCCTTTGAAACAACATTGAAGGACTCTATTATTTCATATGGATCGGCCTCTGGAAATTTTTCTATAGAAGAAAAACAAACCAAAACAAAGGTTTTCTCTTTTTGGAAGATAGCGTTTCTCTTAAGTTCCTAGCATCAAATTAACGGGAGTAAACCAAGGGAGCAGACTCTGAGCACTTGGTCCTCACGCAAACAAAGCAGACCAACCAAATGTTCTCAGGCAGGGGAGATGCATCAAGTGTAAGTACCTCAAATGTACTGGCACTAGGAACTCGTTTGCTTTCTACCAGAATTAAGAGTCTTTGAAATTAGCTCCCTATTGTATAGCTACCTGAAAAATCCAGGCAACCATACTATGAAAAGCCTGACGGTTTTAAGAGTAGTCACCTTTATTCTCTTGCATTAGGAACTTTTATCTTTATCTGCGAACATGGAACAATTTTCTTTATATATTACAAAACCCTCAACATTTTTAGCTAATATTTATCAAGTGCTTTTATGAGCCAGGCACTTCACATGTTTGAACACTTTTAATCTTCATAATAACTTATGAGGTCAATTCTATTATTATTCTATTCTATTAATTCTATTCTACAAAAGGAAAAAAAAAAACCAAAAAACTGAGGCTTAAAAAACTGGAATAACCGATACGTCTGTGACCTGTACAGCGGCAACGTCTGAGATTTGTCTGTCTCAAGCTTATGCTTTAAAACATGAAGCTATTCACTTTTTGATTAATTTATGGCAAATTTTAAGTACGGTTCTCTTAAGTGTTTAGTGTATTAACCATAAATTTAAAGTAACCAGAACATAAGCAATGGCCACAGAGAAAGATATATTAAGTGCTTTATCTTCGTCCAAAAAAACCCAACACCAAACTCATTGCCATAGAGTCAATTCTGACTCATGACGATCCCACGTGTTACTGGGTAGACTGAGCTCGATGCGGTTTCTTGACCGTTATCTTTATGGAAGCAGGTTGCGAGGCCTGTCTTCTGTGGTGTTGCTAAGTGGGTTTGAACCACCAACCTTTCAGTTAGTAGCTGAGTGCAAACCATTTACACCACCCAGGGATCTTTACTTTCGTCAGGAGAATAATTTTGAATACTACACTTTAATATAAACTTCAATGCTTTAAGTTGCATTTGGAAAATAATTAGTATCAGAACATTTACAATACTACTCTCTCAACCCAGAGAGTCGTGAATATATTCTACTATATATAATACAAATACAAAATCACGTTTCTTTTTAAATAAGGCAACATGTGTTATTTAAAACTTCTCATTCTTAATACACAGGATGAAATGTAGTAAGACTAACTTTTCTAATGGTAGTTACAGATAAAAGCCTTAACACCAAATACAAAGAAAAATCATGCTAACAGCAGAGTCTTTAATTTTAAAATAAGAAAAATACTCACGTGAGGGTGTATCTACTTGTAAAAAAAAAATTTATAAGATCTGTATGTCAGATTTGGTTCGTATTCAGTTTCTGTGAGATTGGCATCATAGAACATCCTTGGCGTGATAATTTCTAGTCAGTGTAGGCTGCTGTTTAGTTGACTCCGGTTAGTGGTGAGTTGATGTAGGACAGAATGAGATGCTGCCCAATCCTGTGTCATCCTCAAGATCACACGGACGGTTGAGCCCACTGTCGTGGCTACTGCATCCGTCCATCTCACTGAGGGTTTCTCTCATTTTCGCTGACCCTCTATTTTACCAAACAGGATGTTCTTTTCCAGCAATTGGTCTTTCTTAATGATGTGTCCAAAGAAGCAAGCAAAGTCTTGCCATCCCCACTTCTAAGGAACACTCTGGTTGTATCTCCTCTAGGGCTGATTTCTTCTTCTGGCCATCCACAGTATATTCAATATTCATTGCCAATACCATATTTAATGCATCAATTCTTCTTCTTTCATCTTTGTTGTCCAGCTTTTGCACGCGTATGAGGTGACCTAAAAGACCATAGCTTGGGTCAGGCGCACCTTAGTCTTCAAAGTGACATCTTTGCTTTTTGAAACTTTAAAGAAGTCTTTCGCGGCAGATTTGTCCAATGCAATGCATCGTTTCCGTGGGTGCTGACTGTTGATCCAAACAGAGTGACAGAATGATATTGCTGACAAATCTCCTCACCATTTATCATGCCACGGTTGGTCACTCCAGTTGTGAGAATTTTCACTTTCTTCCGTTCAGTTGTAATCCATACTGAAGGCTATAGTCTTCGATCTTCATCAATGCGTGCTTCAAGTCCTCTTTGCTTTTTGGCCAGCAAGGTTGTGTTATCTGCATATGGCAGGTTGTTAACGAGTATTCCTTTAATCCTGATGCCCCGTTCTTCTTCATATAGTCCAACTTCCCGAATTCTTTGTTCAGTATACAGGTTGAATAAGTAAGGTGAAAAGGTATAAACTTGACTGCATACCTCTTCCAGTTATGAACTATGCAATATCCCCTTGTTGTGTTTAAACAACTGCCACTTGATCAATGTACAGGTTCTGCATGAGCACAATGAAGTGTTCTGGAATTCCACCCATCTGCTGATTTGTTGAACTGTGGTGGCTTGCATGTTGCTATGATGCTGGAAGCTATGCCACCAGACTAACACAGATGAAAAGAAAGGCCTGGCAATCTACTTCCAAAATTCAGCCAATGAAAACCTTACTGAATAACTTCTACAGAGAGATAAATTCTCTAAAAATCTCTACTTTATAATTCCACATCATGTTAATAATAACAATAGCACCAATTAATATTTATTGCACATTTAGTATGTGCCAGGTATGGATATAAATGATTTACTCATTTAATTCCCATAAATCTGCAGTTTTAGAGATCAAGAACTCTGGAAACGTAAAGATTATCTTCAGGGTTTTCAAATGACAGGATGCAAGAACACCCACCTTAGAATGTAAGTGTCTGATCCAGAAAAGATTAGGCACATTTCACATTCAACTAACACTTACTAGGTGCTCACTATGTCAGGTGCGGTGCTAAGCATGTTCTTATCAATTAATTTAACAGTAAGTCTGTGATGTATCACTATTACAAGTTTACTGAAGACAAAATTGAAAAGCAACGAGAAAGAGGAGCAAGGAGAAGCAAATGATTTTGTCAAGGTCTCACAACCGAAATAAAACAATCTCTTATTTTCTTTAAATCCATATTTGTTTAATTAAAAAAAAATAAAATTCACCTCTTAGTTGTTCCTCAGTATCTAACCTGATCTTGTTAACAGCTTCATCTCTGGAAATCTAGAAGAAAGCTTGTGTTAAGTTGTTACACATATGACAGGCTTGAACGTTTCTATTTTTTAGTTATTATACAATTCACACATCATAAGACCGCTCAGATTTCTCTAATGTAGTATTCTTTAAAAGATTAGAACCACTAACTGATTTAGAAGCAATTTTACTTGTATAATTCATTGAAATATGTTTGCCTATTTCCCTAAAATTTCTATTAACACAGGGAGAATGGAGAAGCAAGGACTAGGTTTTTTTTAGCTTTCTGTTTAGAGATATTTCATAAAAACAGACCTAATGTTCACAAACAAAATTATGTGAGAGATGACAAAACAGAATTCCCCGAACAATTATGTAAGACTGAATTCAGTTATACCTACTTTATCATGTTCATAATCTGTAAAAACTGCATACAGTCTTTCCACAGCAAGTCTGTTTTAAGCACAAAATAAATGTTAGCATAACAATATTTGGAAACATGAAAAAATTTCTATTAAAAACAACACTGAAACATTTAAAAATAATAAACTATTTAATAATGCACATTCCATAAAAGAATGAAAATATACCTTATTTACTAATAACTTTTATTTGCTAACCTGTTTGCTATCTATTACATGACACAGAACACAAATTTTAATGAACACTAACAGTGAATTCAAATATTCAGAAAAGTAAACACACTCCTCAAAAGCGATGGCCATGTAACTATACCATTTTGCATTTTAATTAAATGAAGAAAAAGACAAAATACTTAATAACTAGTACTAGCGGCAACTGCTTAGTCATTTGGGGAAAAAACAAACAAAAAACTCCCCAAAAACCTAAACCGAATTTTCACACCTAAAAAAAAATAGAAAAAATTTAAATGTAAAAAATACGTGTGGATATTTTTGTAATCTTGGGTAGACAAGGCCCAAACATGTCTTCAGAGCCAGGGGGAAAAAAAAAAAACTGAAGCATTTGGCTACATAAAAATAAAATATTTGTAAAGCAGAAACAAAACAACAAACTTCACAACAGATCCACCAAAAATAAGATTAAAGGCTCGGAAAAAATATTTACTGTGTTGGTTGCACTTTTTAAAGAGTACGTATTATTTTTTAAATGGAAAAAAATAGTTACATTCATTTTGAAAAAATTATA